AGAGATGTAGAAGACGAAAACGTAGGACCTCACACTAATTTTCCTCGTAAAGGATTCAGTGTCCCTGTTCAAGTTCCTGTTTCCAGAGATCTACCTGGTCCTATCCTTGTTCAATGTAATAGAGGTGCTGGAGGCGTTCAGGTAATTACTGGGAATAAAAATGAGGAAACTTGCATTTTGAGAACCTGTAATTCTGTTTTAATCATTACTGCTTACAGCCTTTCTAGTTTAAATGATCTGTACACTATAAAAACCCTTAATACTGTTGAAAATTCAATCAATTATGTGTCTATACCAAATTAGTTAGGTCGGCTTAATTAGACTGTGTGCACGCTCAACTGCCAAGTTACTGCTATACGAAAACAGAAAGATAAATCCTGAAGTATAGTTTCTGCCAAACACAACCCAAATAATGATGTAATTAGACTAATATACGTAACGAAAGAGTTACATTTCCATACTTAGGGAAAATCTGTATTTTGCTTATGCAGTAATTGAAGTTGTAGGTATTCACTGGACCGTAGCAGTTTGGAATTGGAAGTTTCCATGATCAGTGACCTTCTATGAGTGGAAACTATTTTCTTTCTTTTAACTTCCCTTTAGGTCCTGGGATAGGAGGTTTGCTGTAGATTTGATTTTGCACAGCTTGAATCATTTACCTGAAATTTTCTATTTCCTGTTTTGGATTGTTCCAAGTGCACTCCTAGTTTTAGTCTTGTAGAGACATCCTCATTCTTTGCTATTTCTAGGTTCCATGGATACAAATATTCAGTTTCTCTTCTTTTGCGCTAGGTTTCTGTTAGTACTTATGGAATGTGCATATCTTACCATATGTAGATCATGATATATATGAAGCTGTCTAACTGCAATGGATCTTCCAGCGTAATCATACAAATCTGTTCTTATGAAGTTTAAACATCCTTGTATGATTTAAGATTTTTAGGTTGTAGCCTTTTGTTCTTTTAGTAATTTTTCGAGATCCTCCTATTGTTTTGTGCAACCAAGGCATAAGATTTTCACCTGCAGACATGATGTGCAGAGAGGAGTCAGATTTTTGCCTACAAATATTGGTTCCTGTGATGGTCTAGGCTATAAGTTTGTCTGGATCACATAAGAGAAGAATATTGAACTAAATAGCGCCAGTCCCTTTAAAGACATCCGATAAAATTGGAACGATACATAAGTTTAGCATAGCCCCTGCACAAAGATGATATGCACAAATCAAGAAATGGTTCAAATAAAGCTTGTCGTTTGCAGGTCCCTCTTATGCTGTTTATGAAATATCCTTGAGGAGAAGTATGGGGCGAGATTATGATGTGTCCTCATTGTTTAGGCCTAATTCTTCAAGTCTCTTCTTTTGTCCAATTAATGAAATTCCATGGAAGAGTGTGTCAAACATAGAACGACATCCGATCTAAAGAAAGAATTTTGTTCTTCAACTTGGTTTGTAAGTGTTGAAACTTTACAAGTTTAACTTTTAAACATAATCGTTGGGTGGTAAGACAACTCCTCCAACATTTGGTTTCGGGTTATCTTCAGCCTCTTTCTTTTTGATCAGGACAGGTTCTGCTAAGCCACTGAAAACACAGCTCATTTATAACTATCTTCGGTTTTAAAAAAAAAATCCATTTGGTGATTGCAAATGCAATATTTGCTTGTTTGTTGGTTTAGATTTTGGGGCATGATGATAGATTCCCTGGAAGGGGTAAGTTGTTTCATTGCTGGCGTCAAGAAGATGTCCCATCTGCATATTCTGGGCTGTTTGGCTAGAAAGGAACAAGACATGCTTTGAGGGGAAGCGACCGCAGATTGCTAGAGTAAAAATAGATGTATCAAAAACTTGTTTTTTTTTTTTTTTTTTGGTGTTATAGCAGTACCCTAGATAGGATGGAACAATATTTGGATTTTTTTGATCTTTTAAGGGGGGAATATGTAGTATGAGTGTATGACTGTGGAGATGTTGTAGCTTTGTCTTGTACTTGCTCCTGTAACATCTTGGGACCATATTAATAAAAACTTTTACCCATCAAAAAAAAGAAAGATGCAAAATTACCGAAATATTAGATGTTAGCTCCAAACATTGTAGAACATTTAGGCCCGGGGAGCTAATAAGGAAACCAAAAAAAGTGCTGAAGTAACAAAGTCTAGGAAGGGAACAACATTATTTGCAAGGGGTTGGAGTACTCCAACTAAAGAGATACATAAGGCATTTAGCTTTCAGAGAGTTGTTAGGAGTTGAAATGCCTAAATCCTAAACCCTGCAAAGGGAAGGACATTATTATGAAGGATTACTAAGTAGGTTAGGATTTTATTTGCAAGCCCAGATGAGGTGTTGTTAGAGGGTCACTTGAGGTACTATTTATCCTGAAACTAAGTGAAGTCCAAGTTGGACGTTTCATCTCACTTAAGCAGTAATTTTGTGTGGATTTCGAGGCACTAAGGCATAAGAGGCCCCATCTTGAAGAATGTGACACTAAACAATGAATATTGTTGGTACATTGATGTAAAAATTGCTAAGAAAATGTTACTAATGAATGTGTTTGATCTGGAATATGAAATTAGAATTTAGTTACAGGATTAGAAAGCTGGTCATTAAATTTGAATTCGCCACTAAAAAAATGCATCTTTGCAGTACTCCCTCCGTTTCAAAAAGAATGGCCTAGTTTGACTTGGAACGGAGTTTAAGAAAAGAAAGAATACTTTTTAATCTTGTGGTTCTAAATTAAAGTTATGTCAAATGTACCAAAATGCCCTTTATTCTTGTGGCCTTAAACATGCCACGTGGAAAGTTGAAGTTAAAGTGTTGCCAAAAAAGGAAAGGGGTCATTCTTTTTGAAACACACTAAAAAGGAAACTAGGTCATTCTTTTTTGAAACGGAGTCAGAAATTTAAAATTAGCTTGGACATGATTTTCTTGCTTATACTTCACTTGATGGTGATTTTCTCAACTTGTCAAAATAATATTATTTTTTTTGTGTACGTATTCTCTTTGCATCATACATGCATATGTATATTAGATTATTACCTCCATTTCTTCTTCGCTGAAGTCCATAGCATAACTGCGCCTTGTGCTTAAAACATGCTTCTTGGACCTTCTACCATATGTGGCTAGGTTTCTAAGTTCCCGGGACTTGCTGAGATAAGGCGCAAAAGTCCTCCGGGTATCTCCTCACTCCTAGCTTGTTATACATACTGATGACTCTGGGAGATCAGGGGTTTTTTCCAATAACCTTCTGTGGTATGTGCGCCATCTGATAAAGAGTAATTGAAAGGCGGAAAGAATAATTATTTATTAGTTTGTTCTTCATCGTATTCTTTCAACTTCAAGGATTTCTTAATCCTCTGTATCATACTCAAAGTTCATCTATAGCCAACCTTCCTATCCCTCTAAAACATAAGAAATAGGAAAAAGGTGTCTATAAAAAAATGAATTTCTAGATTAGAGAGGACATGGTAGATTCTCTAATCAATTTAACTTATTGAGACCGTGGTCCTGCTGCATTTTATTAATGCCTGCCGGTGCTTCTTTGATGGAACCTTTGGTGGTTGGTCTCCTTGTGTTAATCAAAATCCTAAAGTTAACAAATAAACCAGAGTGTTTAAGTTTCTTGGTTCATTTGGAATCATATGAGTAAAACTGCGTGTTCTTTGATGGTGAAGAGAGAATGACAGCTTTGTTTGATAGTCCATATCGTGTTCGACTTGTTCATTCATTAAAAATGACTAGTATTTCTTGATTTATGCTGAGTGCATCCTGTTATCTGCTTTTGCTATCTCAGAAATTTAGAATAACTGGTAAGTTTGTGATGCACATCTTTAATAGTTTCACATTTTTCTCCATGCTTAGGGATTGAGATGGTATGCCAAGCGTCTTAGAATAGATGAAGACGGAGATGTGGCAGACGAGTTCCTAAATGAGATCCCACCAGATGCACCTTCTAGTACAGACGAGAATAACAGGAAATTCCGTAAGTTTGAATTGAAGTACACTACAAAGCCTGCAAAGGTAACAAGCCAGGCACTCTCAGCTGCAGGAAAAATTAAATATCGTGTGGAATATCAAGGCAAATTGGAGTGGATTTGAAGACTTACTCTGGGTAGTCATTGCATTTGAGATGGGGATTTCAGTAACATGACTGCAGCTACGCAGCTTGCTTGATATTTTTGCTTTATTCTGAAGGACTAACAGTGTGTTTATGTGGGGTGGTATTGATTGGGGATTCAGTTTCCTGTTGGCTCTGATTTGTGAGAAGCTGGTGCCAGGAAGCGATGAAACGCAAAACAATATGATTTTGCTCTTAAAACTTCCGGTATACACATGCTATTGAACTTTCAAGAACATCATGTCTTGTTAGCTATTCACTGTATCCTTGTATGTATTGAGAAGGGCATAAATGACAACATCCAACAAGCACTTTTGTAGAGTTCCATTTTCCTGTTCTAACCATAAGACTACGGTATTATAGTGGTTTATTTGATAAATTGTTTATTGCAACCATAAAGGTTGAAATCTTTTTTAGTTTTTTCAGCAATACACTGTAGTTTTGTGTTGCTTGTTTGAATTTATGAATGTCGAATGGCCAAAATGTTTAGTACAAGGATTTTACTCATGGATACATTATGCTTTAAACAACATTTTTCCTGTGTGGAACTTATCCTTGTCTATCAAGCGAATTTTGGTTAATTTGGAAACAGTTGCTTAAGGTTGTTATATTCTGAAATGTTATATAAAGAAACGATTAGGGTGAGAGACTTATACGCGAGGCTTTTAGTTTATATATGCTTTCTAGGTTCCTGGAGACCAGCAAGTGGCATTGTTAAGGTTCCAGCTTCCCTAGCAGTAGAAACATCATTCTTGAACAACTTTGTTTTTCCAGACTACTTGTGGCAAAATCTGAGACTTTACATTTTGCGTTGGGTATAAGGTATCAATATCCACCATGTGCTACAATAATTTGAAGATACTAAGGTAAATATCTACTCTATGCTTCCTGGTTAAACTTTGTGAGTGAAAATTGAATTCAGGAAAAGGAAATAGGGGCTGTGTTGAAGAGGAATCTCCATTTTGCTTTTCCTTACACTACTGCATTTGGAAAGTGTTAATAGAAAACAGATGAGAGAGAGAAGAGATAATCTAAATATAATCATCAACAATCCATATGAACAGTTAAAACGTAAGTATATTGTCAATTTGCACATTATGACAACCAATACCAAAGCATGACTTCAGTATTTCAGACAGAAGTATTTCTCATTGACTAGTTGATTACTCAAACAGTAAGAGAGCTTCGATTGCATCTCCTACAGATTACATGACGAAGGCTACTTCAAAGATACACAAACTTAGCACTACAAGACAACACCATATGCAAGAAATTCTAGGGAACGAGTTACAAGTATTTTCAATACTACTATCATGATAAAAAGTCGGAAGGGTATGCATCATCTTTTGTCAGATCCTCCAAGGCCACGTACAAAATTTGCATAGAAAGTGACTGAAGATGAAATACAAGAGAAATTAGCCTACGAGTTTCCTAAACGTAATAATGAAAAGAGACAATGACAAAACTGAAAACAGGGTGATTAGAGTTGTGCTCACCTGAACAAGCATTACCTTCAGCAGAAGAACTCGGTAGATCCCCACTTGGACGGATGAACAACAGAAAATTTTCACGCCCAGAGTAATGTAATTATGAGAAACAGCATAAAAGCCAAAGCAAAGCAAAACCCGGCAACAACTGCGAATGCCTGGATTACAAGATCACATGGTGAATTGCAAAAACCTTGTTACAATGACGATCCCAGAAAACTCAAAATTTCACTTACTTTCCCTTGTGATTCAAACTTCATCTTGGTTGTAAACCATGATAATCCTGTGTCCACAAAAGGAGCGAGAGCTAAAGCCCTACAGAGTCAGAACATTGCCAGATATCAAATCCTCAAAAGATAAGATACATACCATGTGGAAGAGCTAAAAAGTTTCTGCAGAAATTTTTTTGAAGACTGAACCTCATACTGAAGAGAATATAACAAAAGAAACAAAATTCTGTAACAACACAGAAATTAATTAATATACAACCAGATTAACTCCATCTAAAACATGATCAGCAATTCCTCTTTTATTATCGTTTGGTGGGGAAAATCTAGAAGGATGGAAGGAAGGTATACAACCTAAGCATGTCCAAAGATGCAAATCTATGTCAAAGTATATGATGCAAAAACAAATTATTCACTCCTAGAAACATGGGATGGTAAGGATTGACTCACAGGTCACAGCTCATAATTACAATGTTTCTCATACAAAATAATCTGTAGAAGTCAAATATCTCTCATGACAGACAATCCATTGGTGTCATTTGAAGAGAGAAATACTCATCTCATTTTGTTGCTATGTCTGCTGAATGAATTCTACATGAACAGGAACTTATCATGTTTATGCTGTTCTTCTATCGGTAATTTTATCAGATGCAAAATATCAGTATTAAGAAGCTGATCTAAGTTGTAGCATCATAGGCCAAACTGTCCTCTTCTCTATCTATCCTTCATCACTTTGTTTTATATGCATGTTCACTTCTAACACTAAGTCCCAAACGAAAGGCTTGAGGACTCATAGTATTTTACTCTGTGGTAAACATGTGCAGCATTAGATTCTTACCCGCCTGCTCGGACAATCTTTGTAACCTGGCTACCAGCCCATACCATGGCCATTACTTTGAGAAACCTGCAGATGATGTGGAACTACTAAAATTTTCTCCAAAGAAAACAGAACATAAATCTACCAGAAAAGAAAAGAACCCATAAGCTACAGTTACCGTTCAACTGCTGCAAGGTAACCCATTCTTCCAGGTGATGGAGCAACATAAAACCTAGGAAAAAAGCAAAAAAGCTGATGAGAACGAGATGGATAAACCATATGCTATTGTGTAGCAGAGCAGTTGTATCATGCAGTCTGAAATAGTCCGACAGGTAGATGTAATTCTGGTCTTTCAACAAATTTTGAGACTTGCTTCAAATAGGATCAAAATATTGTATATATTTTCTCTGCCGCTTGGTAATATTACTGTTATCAACTACCGCTTAATACTTATTAGGCTTATTGCCTCTGGACACAAACTGGTTTTCACATTGGCGCATTGACAAGAATATCTTTTTCATTCTATTTATGGAGGTTTGCCTATGAACTTGAAAGATGAATTTCTCTCACAGGGTAAAACTGGGGGTAGGTAAGAATCTCCACATTCAGGCTTATAAGTTTTCTAAAGAGCGAATGCTGGTGGAAATAGTGTATCGCTGGTCAATAATACTATAAAAGATTGGAATAAGAAATACAAACAACTATTGGTTATGTTGTTCATATCACTTGACATACCACACGATAAGAAAGGTAGTAAGGTAGTATGCAGTATTTAGTAGTCCATATGATAATACTCCTACAACACCATATCTTCTCAATCTCGTCAGAACCCTGATATCCAGCAAGGGAAAAAAGTTAGATCTCAACATTAGGTGTTCCACCAGATATTGCTAGTGTTAACCTCGGCTGCTCAGCATAACAAAGACGTAAAGTGAAAGCAAATTCATCCGTCCATTCCAGAAGAGATAAGAAACATATACCAAGATCAGAGCAAAATTTTATGTCAATAATTGAGAAAGGGATGAGGAATAAGATGTTAATTAAACTTGAAAATGTGGCCCCTATCATAAGTTTAAAAACACATGACCCAATAGGCGATAAAGAATATTAGTACAGTCCATAAGGAGTTATGGACAAATAAAATTCTCCTGCAGGTTCCTTTTTCAATATTTTGATAATTGTAAGAAATTTCAACTAGCCTTCCACACAATGCTATGCTTCATTGAGAAAGGAAGGAACTTCTCCATCAGTTATCCGATCCAAACAGAGGAGATTTTATATTAAAGGAAAAGGGGACAATTTTTCCTTGTACTATTTGATATTGAGCAACTTTCCCATCCATTTGATTTTTGGTCTAATATTATCCCTGTTGCCAGACAAAGTCTCAATTTTGCCCTTACCTCTAACAAAGCTCCAATGTGAGCCAAATTTTGAACCATAGTCAAAAGTTTAAGGGTAAATCTTTGCCCTGAAGAATCTGGACATGTGGACTCCACGCATTTCACACTGGAGCTCCAATAATGGAAAGGAAAAATATGAGATGATTTGCTAGTGGCAAGGGCATGATTAAACCAAAAGTTAATCGAAGGGAAAATTTGCTCAATTTCAGATGGTATAGGAGCAACTTTGGATTTTCCCTATATTAAAACAATTCTTTCACCAAATCTCTGCTGCTTCTGAGATCCTCTATCGTATCTCTCCCATTTCACAAGTAGTTAACTGGTACGAACTCTTAAGACAATACATTTTAGTACATAGAAGGAGGATTGTGCCTATAACAGTATAAGAAATGATTAGCTCATCATAGTGGAGTCATCGTTAAACAGCGTAGCACTCCTTCAACTTATGAACACTCACTCCATTTAAGTAACTACTCATCTTGTCACTGCTCTAACAAAGAGACATATTACACAAACACTAACTAATCCACAAGCGAAGCATATACAAAATAAGAAAAGTACAGAAGTTATGGTTTTCCAACAAAATGGTCCTTTTGTAACTAGAGATAGATTGAGAAAAAAACAATTTTTCTTACATATTGAACTTGAGAAAATAACACAAAATACAGAAACATCGAACATAAATGCATAGATAGCAATTTCAACTGTGTCTCAAATTTTTCGAGACACTGTCAAAGCAGCGCAAAAAGTAGCACTTACGTGTTTGATGTGGGTGATTCAGTTTGACTAGTTTCATCTTTTCCTACAGTACCTAGCAATATTTGAAAGTAAGGCCAATTACACGGTTTAGTTGGTAGGGAAATGATAAAATACGCACTGTTAGGAAGATATCAAATACACATTTTACTTTTTAGGATTATACCTTTTTGATCTAGAGGACTATTTTGAAATTCTGGTGACTCGTAAACCTTGCCTTGCAAAACAGTAGAGAGGTTAGCTATGAGATAAATCTCCACATCATGAATAATAGTAGGGACTTCTTATGGATAAGAATGGGGAAACATTAAAATGAAGACTGATATTCTGAATAGAATTATTCAAAGCTACTATGTATTATTAATTTTAAATGTGTGTGCATTCCCTGATATGACAACCAATAACAACTGCACCTAAATTCCAAACTAGTTGAGGTTCGCTATATGAATCCCCTATGTCCACTCCGCTTCATTTTGGCGTGTTTCCTTCGATTACTCAATAATTTGTTTTTTAGGAAGCATACCAGTTTTGGCATGAATGAGGTGAGGTCGATCATTCCAAATAGAGGAATTCTAGCTACAATGGAGATTGGTGCTTAAAGGAATGAAAGAACTCTGCAACTCAGGAAAGAAAACTTGAAAATTGAACTATATATAGAAAAAGACATTCTTTTTATGACACACCAAAAAGGAAAGTAAGAGACTTAAATTGCCAAGGAGGTAGTAGCAAAAAGAAAACAGGAAATTACATTATGATCACTATTAACAGAGCAGAGACGAAGCAGATGCCTGGAAGGGAACTGTTTTTGCCGCAGGTACAAATGACGAGTGCAGAGCACGTTGGAAATGTTAACCTTCACAAATGAAATTAAACAAAAATTGTCATATATCAACAACGTCTTAATAAAAAAATTCCAAATATTTTTGTTCAGATTGAAGATCCACTATGCTTTGTCAAACTCACATTGAAAAGAAAAAAAAGCGGTTAATATTATTTGTTTTTCTAAATGGAAAATACGAAATACAAATTGGTGCAATTGAATAAGAATTGACAGGAGAAGGACTTACATTGCGGTGGAGAGGTAATGAAGAGCGAAGGGATGAGGAGAGTGTAATGCTAAGAGGAGAAGACATGAGCAATTCAGAAGCTAAATGGAGAAAAAGAATATAATAAATCGTCACTCTTTGGGTAATGAGAAATACTGTACGGGGATAACACATTGTGCTTTTAATTGCACATACTTGTTTTATATATATATATATATATTCGTCTTATATATCTATTTGCAGTAAAGGTATTTTTTCTTTGCTAAATGGAGTTTCTTTGCTAGGTTTTTTTAGACGCCATACTTATATATTGTTGTTACAGACAATTTGTGTTTGATCAATTATTTAAAACACTTCTGTCAGCATTGATAAATTAAAAAAATTACTATTGTCACTCTCTCCATAAGTGTTTTTAAACTATATGTGCAAAAAAAAAGAACATACGAAATTTTACTTTGCATAGTATTACTGAAATAATAAATAATTTGAGACTTCAATTAACATACATAAATTAAACTTGAAAACAGAATGGTAGAGACTTTTTTCTTCTTTTCCATCCATATAGTCATATAGATATGAAGTAGATATAATGCCTCGCGAAGAGAGGAAATGTGAGGGTGAAACATTTACAATTAGATTCCAGAAATATGCAAAATACAAATTGTTATTCTTTTCGGTTCGTATAATACAAACTTTAAAACACATCTAATTGGCATTGAGCAACATTAAAATTACTGTTAAGTAAATTTGATCTAGAGCTCCAGTGTTCTTATGAATCCAACCAGCTTAACAGCTTTATCGTCTCGGTAAATTGAATGCTTTCGGACAAATTTTCATCCCTGAACCATCAAAGCTCTTACAGTTCAACAGAAAACCTGAAACACTAAGGTTGATTAGCTTGGGGAATCTGCACAATGATAGGGTTCTCTGAACTGTATATTCAGCTACCATTAAGTTCGGGGTAATACAACCATGAAAAACAAAATCTCAAGTACTTCAAAAAATTATGCCAAAAAGATCAATCATTCAACCCTGCCATCAGATAGTAAAAGTGCAACTAAATAGTTACTCCCTTCATCCCAATTTTATGTGATGGCTTTTGACGGGGGATGGAGTATAAGTATGAGAAGAAGACTACTGAAATTTGTAGTCTAAAATAAGCAATAATAATTTATCTGGTTATAAATCATCTCATTAAAGGTAAAATGAGAATTTTAAAGTTAAATTGTCAGTGAATGTAGAAAGACGTCTTCTTTTTAGGAACGACTAAAAAAGAAAAGCCGTCTAATGCAAATGCTTACATCGAGAGGGTTATTTCATGGCTTGCCATCTGAAGACCCATATGTTCATCTAAGTAAAGAGGTGTCACACAAACTGGGACAAAGTGAATAGTATCTTTAAGTCCTTTTAAGTCAGTAGCAGAAGAAAGTTAATTATATATCCATCTACATACATACACGAGAATTCTTTTAGCAACATGAATACATGATGGTGGACTTTAGTGATGAATTTCTCCATATCTACAGATCCTTCACGCAAGTACAAGGTATTATTTGGATTTCCACATATTCTACTTTGGCGTGGTAACTGAGAGCTCATTAACGAGTTGAATTGTTTATGTAGGGGGATGAATGAAGAAATTTGTAGGACTCACCTCTCAAACCGTTCTGATTCCAGAGGATAATACTTGTGCAGCCCTCCCTTTGGATGGATAAGAGTTGTTTGCTTGGTAGGCAAGCAGCTATTTCCTTCTTCGTCGACGGAGGTTTGAAGGCCACTGTCATTGCAGAAAGATGCTACATCCCATTCCTGAATAACCATACATTAGAGCAGCCAAACCAGATTGAGAAGAGCTGAACTTTTTCAGCTAGTCAAAATAGAATTTTACCTTCATCATTAGGAGTTTGGAAAGAGTCGCCAAGGGAAAAGGCTGAGGCTTGTATCCTCCATAATTCACACAGGAAATAGCTAGTGCTCGAACCTTAGAAATGAAAATGGAACAAATTAAGGGGAATCAATTTATCCAAAAAATAAAAAAGAAGGATAATAAAAGTTACAAAGGAATCCTATTTACAAAGTGGTGATATTTGTGAAAGCACTAATAATGGAGCATTTGGTTTCGCATTAGCTAGGGATGTTTCACACTATAAGTTAAAGTCTGCCATTACAGACCAGCCTCAGTTTCCAGTTTTCTTCCAAGTAAGAAGCAGACTCATATGGTAGGAGAAGGATCAAACCCAAATTATATTCCAACAGTGACGGAAAGTGGGAGTGGGGAATAGGTATTTATCAGGCAAATGAGAGAGAGCATATGCCATAGGAGCTTTTTTTGCTATTATACAAGAACTCACCTCATTGATAGATGGTTCAATAATGCAATACTGCAAGTAGGATGCCTCGGACTCTGTTGTATGAATAAATTTCTTGTAGAAGCCCAATTTAAAGTATCTGCCACAAAATAAGAAGTAAAAGTTGACCTTCCCATGTACAATAATAAATGTATTCTACTATCAACGGTAATTGATACTAAATGCCATTGATCTACCTCAAGATCTTCCGAGCAAAATTCATTTCTGTCGACTTCATGATGTGAGAAGGAACACAGCGAAACCATAAAGATAGTGTCTCCCCCTGCAAATCAAGTAGTACAATGTTTAGTGAAACTGAACAAACAAAATGGTCTCTGAGTAAGCACCTGATATTCAACTGCAACTCACAATCTTTGATAAATACAACGATAGTATAAAAAAACGTAACTGTTCCTTGGGTTTTGGAATCAAGGTGGAGAAGCACATAAAAGGAAAAAAATTCAGCTTCATTTTTGAAGATGGACGCTGTAGTTCGATTTGCTTCATAAAGATTAAATAAAGTCGCCAATGCTTTTGTTAGCTGCTCCATGTTGAGGTATGACAGCGAAGAAATATTTGAACCGCTACATCTTCTAAGTTTATGCTGGGAAATTATATGGAATTTAACCTGTGGAGAAAAATATATTAAAGCTACATAATTCTGAACTTTCTGCAGTTATACTAACAGAAGGATCACTTGAACATTTTAAGCCTAGAATCCATTAAATTAAATAATTTGCTTGGTTTCCTAAATAAGAAGCCTCCTCATCATTACAACCAGCCAAACAAAAGATCAACAAAGAAGGGGGTACTACGAATAAAGAGGAGGGAAATTTGCAATAAAATAGAAAATATATCAAACCACCAGCCTAGACAATAGCTCCCATAACAATGTTATCCATCTGCTGTAAAAGGTATGAAGTTACATCCATCTCAAAAGAATTCTACCAAAACTCCTAATGCCTACGTGGATCGGTAACCCTTGATGCAAGTATCTCAGCTACTGCAGTTGCAATGGCATGTTTTTAAGACTACAAGAGTCAGTATATTTTTGGTGTGTTATATATACTTTTAGCTCAAGACACAAGAATCAAAAGTCTTAAACTAAGACCCATAAAATAAAATTGAGGGAGTATATCTAGATCAAGAAAAGTTTGTTATATGGTAAAATGTTTCTAAATTTACCACATGTCTACTACATTCATTGTATTAAATAACTGAACATGCAGAGTATTTAATGTGGTATTTTAAAATACTCTCTACACTGCAGAAGAACAAATACTTACCCTATAAATAGCGAACAATCGCCTACCTTATTGTATTAGATGAGGATTCCGATTTCCCCCCCTCCCCCAGCCTTTTTTTTTTGTTTGAGGAAAGGTAAAGAAAAAAGCACCCTGAAGGTGCATAATTACAAAAGCTATTTACAACAGAATTCTTGCTCCCTAAAATAGACAGGGAACTGATGAAGTCAGTATGCAAGAAACTAGCAGTAGGATAACATGGACAAGCGGTTAAGGTAGCGTAATGGCTAAATTTGTATCGATAAACAGTTTACGAATTGTATACAGTAGCGGATACACCATCCACATCTAACAGCATATCCACTTCTTATTATCAATTCAATTCATCTTTTGAATTCATTTTACAAAAGATGCAACAATATCATGATTCATACATCTACATATATGTATATCATTCCAGCTCTAATTCAAGTTCTTTTGAATAAGATAACCTGAATAAATAAGCATACCATTCTCTCATACATAGAGACCACTCGACTGCAAGAGATATTTTGCATACTCAGATCTTGTCTAATGGACCTCATCCTATCAAAGATAAAGTCATGAACCACCTCAAAGGGATGCTCAGTAGAGTCCAGCAAGTTACACAGATAGTTCAAAGTATCTTCCAACACCGAGAGAGGCCTCACATCAGAATCTTGCAAAGTCTTTACGGATATAGTTCTGCAGAACTAACAAAGAGAAATTCAATAAACCATTCATTTAACAAAGACTGAAGTTGTGAATAAAATTTAGGAAAGATCAAAAGCAATGTAGACAGAATCTAAGATCACTTTCGCCACAAGCCCACAACTAACACTGGATTTATAAGTACAGATTGTAGAAGAGAAGACTGACTAAAAACTATATTGCTCATACATGCTGCAAGTAAAAAAACGTATTAATTATGTATCAAGTCAAGTTTGAACCTTAGTCCCACACACAAACGGGGTGAATTAGCCTGGACAAAAGTCACTTGCACATGGACTTCATTATGTTTAGAGCTCCAGCAATTTTTGGCTGGGATGGGATTGAATCTTGATTTCTTTTTTGTTTGAAAGAAATGATGTTACTTACTAACTGGTACATTATAATGGAAATAGGAAAACTTTTAAGATATGATAATGCTATTCTTTTTTGACCATTGAAATAAAATTCCATTGTCTTCAAACGAAGTAAAAGAAATACTGTTTGGAATCTTTAGTACTGCTCTGGGGTATATTTCAACATGATAAAAATGAGAATGTTTAGCGATCTATATTTGGTTACCCCTTCAGAGCTCAGCATTTTATCAATGTTGCAAGTCCAGTTTGTTTCGAAACTTATTGCACAAAATTACTTTTGTCCAAGTGACTTTGTTAGGTTTTTTATCCTCTCTAACATTATTGAGTAGCATATCTATTTAATGCTTTTAGCTACGGACTGTAATGTTAATAATTCTTACATGTGAAAGCTGAAGCAGGAGGCCTACTACCTCCAAAATT